TGGAATAATCCAGTTTATTTCTGGTGCAGATGATTTCACGCTTATTTTGTTAAAAGGGAATGGAATATATAAACATGCTTTACAATATTTATCAGATGACATGAAATTTAAACATGAGGTTTTACCATTAAATTATCCAGAAAGAATAACTCATGCCTTAAAGTATAACTGTGGTGAATACGTTAGTAGGTACATGATCGTACCACTGAGTGACATCGTGCGTAAATATCTTTTGAGATGCTTAAATAGGCATTACTTGTTAGTAGACACATCCGGTAGAGATCCAAACAAAAATATAGAAATTTATGATTTAGAAACTAATCAATTAATGAATGTATTTAAAAGGTATAAATTTGCTTTATCAAATTTGAATCGTGAAAAACCTGGTGCATTTACGGTATCTAATGATGAAAATTTATTAGCGTACGTATCTGGAAATGACCTTAAAATCTATTTAATAGAAAATGGTCTTGAATTATCATCTTTATCATGTGAAGGTGGCATGTTTGATGTGGAATTTATGAAGTTTGTCTTGAACGATGAAAAATTATTAATATTCAAAGCTGACAGAACTGCTGCAGTCTGGGATATTTTTAATTCTGTTAGAGAATCTATCGAATTCATACCTTTGGAAAAAACCACATATTCAGGTTTAGCCAAGCATATGACGAGAATAGTCATTGGCCCTAGATCAGAAAATTTAGAAAACCTGGATAAATTAGAAGAAGAAAAATTTGAGAATAAGTATTTTACGATCCTTAATATAAGACCATTCTTTGATGAAAATCAAATAGTATGGGATAAATTAGTTCTAAGTGAACATTTGACAAGATCAGGTCTTGATTCGGATTGGAGAGAACTAACTCCTTCTGAAAGTAACATAACTAACGCGAAGCCTAATGCTTATGGCATTGAAGAAGATGTTTCGTTATTAGATTTGGAAGAATCTGAACTTAAGTATTATTATGGAACAGAACCATGGGTTGTTCATCCTGCAGAAAAAATAAAGCGACCTTCGTTTTCAAGACATGTTATCTACCTTGATAAAGAAAAAAACATAAGACTCCTTATAGGATACAATACTATACAAATTTGGCGTGGTAAAAAACTCGAATTCATTCACATCGTTAATGATGACCCCGACGAACCAGAAGAACCTCATGAAAAGTTCAAAATTATTAAAATTAAATATGGTGTAGAAAAGTTTGATCTTTTGATTAGCACAGAAGAAGAAAAAAACATTCAAATAAAAATAGAACATGAAGATGATATCATCTACATAGTAAGAAGTGCAATCGATGCACTTGTGTATTTAGATACTCAAAGTAATTCTTTTAATCTTGTTGAAGGTAGTAAACGTATAAAATTTAATAATATAGTTCAGCAAACACGAAACATTATTATAAGGTTTATTACCTTATATTCGAATCCTTGGAGACTAATAGATTTTCGTTATAAGCTAATGAGTAAATTTATTGGTCTAAAAGATTTTTCACTCATGGCCCATATTTTGTTTAGTCACAGATATGAATCAGCTAATGATTCTGAAAAATGCGTTTCACAAATTCTTTCTGTGATCTCAATAAGTGATAAGGAAAGTAATAGCGAAAATGACATCAAAACTAAATTAAAAAAAATTAAAAACATTATTTTGAAAAACTCTTTAAGTCATAAAAAAACTGAACAAGAGCGCCCTCTTCATTCATGGCAAGTTCCATTAAAAGAAATTTTCCCTGATGAAGCTTAGTTATTTAAAAGATTAGAATATGTAGCAAAAATATGTTTATATGAATATAATTTTTTATACAAAACTTTAATTATTTTCAGAATCGAATATCGATATGACAATACTTACATTTTTCCTAGAATATTATTCAAACAATTCGATGGAGAACATTGGTTGGATGAACGTCGTGTCTGAAATCATACCATTATTATACGAAAAACATCTCGGTTTGTTATTAATATTTTCTAAATTTCAACTTTATCAATTAATTTTCTCAATTTAATTAATATAATTCAGACTGGTACGCTCAAGAGTTCCTTTACAGGCCTTGTTTTGGTAACAAAGAGTTAGATTTGTCTAGTTTGAAGTTTCATACGATTAAGAAAAGTTCCGAAAATTCTTTAAAAGTTTATATTCCTATAACGCAACTCATTCCTCGTGGTGAAACTTTGAATCTTAAAAATATCAGGTAACGCTTTTTACTACTATTATTACTAATTTAAAATAAAGAAAATGGGTGTATTTAATTTTTTTAAAAAAATTATAGTGACGATGAAATTCCTTACATTAGAATGGTACCTTTGATTGATTTTGCAACGAATAAAAAAGCTCTGGTTCCAATAGATAAAACTCGGCGTATGATTATAAAACTTTTCTTACCTGGCAAATACTCATCTCTTGAAAAAGAGGAATATAGCCATTTTATTCGGCTCTTAATAATGATGGGTGCAGATAATGCATTTTATACTAATCCTTCAATGGAGGCAGTCATGAATTGGATGTGGTATTCTTCTAGATCACATTGGAATCACAAATTACAAATTTACATTGTATACCTTTTATCCTATTCGATTATTTCCTGGGCATATATTACACATCTCGAGGTTACTGGTTTTTTACACGTCCCAATGATTCTGATTATGCTCTTATTTTATTATTTAGTATATTATCATTTTGTAATTGAGATACACCAATATAAATTTCATGGGCAGGACTATATCGATGATTTTTTCAATTGGATGGATAACGTTGCCACTTTTTTACCTACGATCCTCTCTTTTTATATTTTGTTTGATTATAATATAGAGAATGGCTTTAAAAATGCTACAACTACTCAAGTAATTGTTTTACTCATATTTATGAGTATTGTGTTCCTCTGGTACGAGTTGGTATGTACATATTTCCCTTATTTTATAATATGAGATTAATAAATATTAAAAATTTCTTTATTATTCGTAGGTTTTGTTGCTGCGCGTTTATCCAGGTATTATAGTATTCTTTTGAGCATGAAATAATTGTATCTATCTAAATAAATTTAATTTCTTTTTTTTATTTAGAATTTGCAAATTACCTCTATATAATCTTAAATATTATTGTTTCAATAAGATCATTTTTATTATTTTATAGTATAATGATTATTGCAATGGTATTTATAATTCTTTTTATTAATTAAGTTATTAAAGTTAAATTATAATTAATGTCTTTCCTTAAATCATCAGGGACATGCGCTGTAAGATTTCTTTATTCATGAATTATTTATGAATTCAGAATTATTATCTAACATATGATATACCATAGGTTTATTCTTCTTAATCATCCCTCCTACATATCATTAAGACAAGCACCAGATACTGATAATCCATTCACAAATATAGTTAGTGCTATAATTGCAACATATAATTGGGGTTCAATTCAATTTAATGCTTGGGAATTTTTGGCCCCTTGTTATTATTAGTGTAATTGGTAGCTTTTTTTTCATTGTTATATTGGCAAATATAATTATTTCGTTTATGAGGTATTGTATATCATTATTTTTTTAGTTTTTAATATTATTTTTAATTATTATTAAAATTTTCGAATTTAAAAGTGATGCATTTGCAAATGCGAAAGAAGAAAGTAGACGCTGGTGTCTCCAGCTTCAAACCGACTTACTTAGCGATTATGCACTTCTCGAAGGATCTCTTATTACCTTTAGAATAAATAGTTTTGATCGCCAATTTAAAGATAAATTAAGAGTAAGGTATATATGCTTTTTAGATGAAGCATCGCTCACACACACATGGAATGAAAAATCGAACGAATCAAGTTCACGATGGTTCGATACATATGGTGTTTATGCAAGGAAAGAAAGTTCTGATGCGATTGTTGATATTGATGAAATTGATTTTATTTGGACCAAACCAGAAAAGGCATAAATAGTAATACGTTTATTATCATATCACTATCTAGCCTAATTAAATATATACCTGCACCTTATCTCAGGTTTCGCCCTGCTCTAAATGTTTTCTGTATAGACCTCTGTATCTAGTTAAATGACATCCACATTATTTATAGTTTTATCTCTGGAATTCTGTATTTATACACTTATACAAATTGGATTGATCTAGTTGTTATTAATTATAATCCCCCGTATGTGATTAAGCGGAAACTTCGTTTCCGCTAATTCCCAACGGATCAGGTTATTAGTAATAATAATCCTCCCGTGATCTTGATATAGTGATCGAGGGATTATTATTACTAACACCTGACCACGCGCTCAAAAAGGTTTTGTCAATCACTATGGCGCAAATCCTGATCCACAAATCAGATCTCATGAATCGGGTGTAACGTAACACGATCAAGAAATTTCAAAAACAAACGTTCGTTTTGTCAAAATCGCTTATTTTTAAAAATCAGTAGAAAAAACTACTTTAGTGCTCTAATAAAAAGTTTGATTTTACTATATAGCAACTTCTAACCTATACAGCCACTTCTAACTTTATTCTAAACGCTAACCCTAGTATTAATTAATTTTGCTAATGATCTATGATCGACAAAACCTGATACAGAATTTTTGAGTGCTTCATAAATTTGCCCCAATGAGAATATAAAATTTATGAGAATACTAAAATTTATCTAGCCTATATTTTTATTATAACTCTAACTTTTAAAATGCTTTAAGCAACTTATCACTTTATTAAGTTTAAATAGATTTCTGTTTAAAATTCCTGTTTGGTTTTGCACAATAACCTCTATTAGAGATATATCGGGGAAATGAATGTGTAGGGAAATTATTTTAGAAGAAATAAAGTCAAACCTCTCCAAATGCATTGTGATGGTCCACATGTAAATATTTAGTCAAATTTGCATTTAGAAAGGTATTGCATTTAGTGAATTTAGGGAGGTAACAATCTATAAGCATTATATTAGTTGGGCCCAAGTGAAGGCGTGCATTTACATTTAGGGGTTGCGTTTAGAGAGGTCTGATAGTGATTGCAATAAAGAAGTGATTGTCAGGGAAATGAATATATCAGGGGAAATAGTCATGTCGGAAAAGTGATTGTAAGGGAAATATTTGGACCACTTTGACACTAAATGCACACATTAAAACAGTTCAGATATGCGCAATAGCCTTCAAAATCTATGACGATTACACAAACATATTCTTAATGGGATAAATTTGTCGTTATGTTTGTTTTTTTTGTTTTTGTAACCGTAATATACTTTTGGAGGCTACTGTACGTGTCATTATTTGGGCTCTTTTTGAATTCTAAATATTTATATTAGAGCTTTTTAGATATGTGTTATTTTATAGATAACACTTCACAAACATCTTAGTTTATAGAAATTATTGTTTCTACATAGAAAATCTGGGCACGAATTTCAAACACAATGTTACAAACACTAACGTTAATAATACAGTACAAATAAATATTAAAGTTTCAATTTAAATTTTAATATTACAATTTATTGGCTTTAAAATAAAATCTGTAATGATTGAGAACCTGTATTTTTAAATTTACTTGATGGCTGTTGTTCTAAGAATGCAAACTATATTTACCTTTTTCCGATTTTCTTTTTCTTTATTGTACAGAAGCTACCTGAACTTGAATTAGTATACTAGATACTAATGCGATCTTTATTTGTGAAATTTTCATTGCATTTTTATTAACTTCTTAATACTAAAATCATATAAGTATTGCAATTCTTCGGCTTTCGTTATAATAATTAATTCGATTTTTTTTTTAAAGAAAAAAATTGATTAAGAATTTATATCTATATTTTTTTTAATGATTAACCAGGAATTTATATCGATAATATTTTTTAATGATTAATCAGGAGATCAAAGTTAACGTACGTCTAAGATTTTCTAGATTGTCTATGGGTGTTCTCAAACACCTCGCTCAATGGATCGGAGACAAAATTTTAGTTAGTCGGAATTGAATGAATTAACCAAGTGAGTTACCATTTCGATAAACAAATCAGCGAGATACAAACCACCTTTTT